TTTTTTTTTCTTTCTCTAGAAACTTGTTGGTTATACACATGCATATTTTTGCAAGTGAGATAAGCCCTGTCCTGCTCTGGTAGTACACCTATTGGCAYACTAGTTAGTGTAAATGCCTTGGAAAACTGTGATGCAAACTGTTAAGAAGGATAAGGGGGAGACCTGTCCCATAAAGGAGAGATGTCCCTTACCACACAAAGGAAAAGAAGACATTTCTTTTTGACCCTGACTTTTTAAAGAGATACTCTCATGAAAAATAACTGTATTGAAGAGGGGAAATCTTTATCTAGACTAGTAACACTTTTCTACACTAATAAAAGTAAAGAAAAATGTAAAATTCAAATGGAGTCTGTAACATTACCTGCTTAGGATTTACTTTTTTTGCATTTCACTCAGCCTGGGGAGTGAAAGCCGCCTATTGGTTTCACTTTTGCTCTCAGCCAGTTTCACTTTCATGCACTGGCAGAATCTTTTCTATATTGGGCTCAGCAGTGTTACAGGAGAAATTTACATTTTTAAACAATCCCCATTACACTTATAATACGAAAAATTCATACCCATCTTTTCTTCAGTACATTAACAAAACATAATTTGGGGGGCAAAAATAATGAGCAGCATCCTTCTAAAGAAGCAGCTTTCACCTGCCACATGCTAGGTTGTATTCTGCTCCTTCTATCTCTGAAATCAATAGGAAATATGCCCTTAACCTCACTGATACCAGGATCAGGGCTCTGAGTCTGTATCTTACAACAAAATAATTCCATATGCTGACCAAAATATTGCTCATAAAATATAATGCTTGTCTTCAATTATTTTCCTTGTCAAACTCAAAGTAAAAAACAGTTTCTGCATTTACATTTCTGTATGAGAGAGAAATACCCTTCCTGATATATGCACTATGAAATTAGAGGGTACCTCTCCCTTTTTTTTTGCACAGGGGACACGCATTATACCTTCCATCTACCACCCATGAATAAGTATTCCTCCTCCTTGTGCCAAGCACRAGCCAAATGAAACACTGAACAGCTACAGAAATGTTACTGCCTTTCACCAGGATGTTGTTTAGTCGAAGCCCCCAAAGCATGTACCCCTATAACCCTCTCTTCTTTCACCATAAACCACAATGCTTTCAGAAACTACAATTATCAACAACAGAAAAAAGACAGGATCCACCATTTCTATTTTCAAGCATGCCACTTTCCATTCTATATTCCTTCTCCTTTTGCGACACAGACCCCAAAACGCACTTGCGAACTCATACATATGTGTCTGTACATGCATGTACATACAATGAAATCCTCCTTTAGTTACTTAAGCACTGCARTTTTTATCTTTACATTGAAACTTAATGGAAACTTACGGGAGCTGCAGAACCTTAACTTTTTTCATTTTTTTTCCTACAACTCTGTATCCCACAAACATACCCAGAGACTTTTCACTAGCCAGGTATGGTAATTACTGTCCCATTTACATTCCTAATACTAAATCTTAAAAACTTACATATGCAACTCCTGTGACAATATCTACATCTCAGTTTTATTTATTGTTTTATTTCAATACAAGAAACATGAATGAAAACGGGATTTGGTTGTGAATATTTACCCATTTACTTCACACACACACACACACACGCCTTTTCTATCTGAGCATACTCTGGTACCATACATTTGACTTATATCATCACATCCCACATCTAGAGACAAATAGCTTCCCCAGCAATATATAGCAAATACTCCCATTTTCTCTTCTACTAGATGCCACAGCACCCAAGGAGATCAACAGCTCTTTCAAATAAATTTTCCCTGTTTTCCATTTCAGCCTCTACATCTCCTTTCCCCAGAAGCCATCTCCTGCGTTTTCTGGGAGAATCCAACACAACACTTACAATTATGCATACTTTTAAGTGTGCAGATCCACCCTGTGTTCAGTGGGATTGTTCACTCACCTCGGTCACCAGCTGCCTTACAGTAAACTCAGTGCCATACAGTGACAGAGTCATGGCCTGGATGACAGAAATGCTGTTTTCTAGAAAGCATGACACCCACCACTGAATTTTGCAGAAACACAACACACTGCCTATACATCCAAACGTCACCATAGTCTCCCTAAAGGACGAAATTCACTTTCTTAAATGCAGTACACAAGGGTCAGCTGCCCCTAATTTGCCCTGYGCTGTTGGTAAGTATTCCAGTGGCAGCTGGCTAGTACTAGAGCTTGCGCTGGGCTTCCACCTGGGGATGAATTTCCCTCAGAGAGAAAGGGTTCTGGAAAAAGTTTTTGCTATGGGTGGCTTTCATTTTATTTACTTTTAGGAGTAAAGTCCCAAAATGCATCAATTTATTTAAGATACGATGAAGCTTGACTTAAATGGACACTTGGGAAAGTGACAATTATCCATCCATTAATATTGGTGGATCATTACAAATGAGAGAAGTAGCAACAGGGAAATAGAAGGGCTTGTTTCAAAATGGTTGCTTTAGAGAGAGAGTTTCCTGACTTAGACCTGCTCTTAAATGTAGCCTTAGGTGCCTTTCCCTCTGGAGGATTCTATCCTATATTTTGCCTGCTTTTTATATAAGTATTTACTATACCTTTTCTGCATTACTCTGACTAAATAGATCATTTCAGTTGGGTGTTTGCTCCTTCTGAGATGTTAAGAGAGAAAGGCCTCAGAGGAAGCATTAGCACTGGACTCAAATGATATTCTAGAACTTATGTATGTGTCAGAGAGAATAAGATAGCAACACAAGAGAGTGCTGAAAGAAGGTGGTTGCTTTCTCAAGATATTTAGCATTATGCTAATTCCCAAAATATCAAGAGGAAAATGCCCCATAAGGTGCCTTGTCTGGCCACGTCAGCAGCCCCACAGGAGTCTGCAGCCTCTCCTCAGGGTCCTGCTTTTCTGCAGCTCTCTCCCAACCAGCCTTTTACCAGAGGTTATCATGGAGGCAGCCTGCTCCTCTCCTCCTTTTTCCATCTGGAAACAAGGAAGGGAGCAAATATTAACAAATTCTTATTCATGTTTTTTTTTTTTTTTTCCCCGTAAGGCATTTGACATAACCCCTGGTGCTGTGTAAGAGGCATATTATTAATAATAATTGTAGCTGGGAATAACTGTCATGTCGGGTAGGTTCAAGTGAGGGACAGAGATGTGAGCAGGTCACACAGTGTCTGTGCCAGGTGTAGGGAGCCCAGGCTGGGATCACTGCCTTACTGCTCCCTCCTCGCTCTAGCTCAGCCTTAAATACACCCAACTGGAGACATCTTTCCTTTCTCCTGATCCCCGAGGAAGTGTCCCATTGCTGGCGGAGCAGGGCTTTGGTGCGAGGTAAGCGTGGCAATAGCAGGGATGGGGGAAATGTCCCCATCGCTTTGGGGATCCCTTCCGCGCAACTCTGGGGCACCAGCAGCTCCCTGTTTGCGCAAGGGGAACGACAGAGGCACAGCAAATTTAAGACGGATATTATGTCTCCTTGCCCCTTTCTTAAATAACCAGTGTAAACCATGCCCAAAGATTTCCAGTGCAATCTTTTCCAATTTTCTAACTAGAGACCAGCCAACCCTAAACAACTGATCAAGCAGTATTAACTGTGCATGGAGTAGATCTAAGGCAATATAAACAACACAGAGGTGAAAAAAAATCATTTTCCCCTGAATTTAAAGCAAGTATACCAACATCAAAATATTTCTATAATCTATGTC